ATAGGATGGTGTGCAACTTATGCAATTTTCAAAAAAAAAAAAAAAAAAAAAAAAAAAAAAAAAAAAAAAAAAAAAAAAAAGCTTGAGTTACTTCAAAAGATTAAAATAGCAAAAATAGAAAAATAAATAAATAAAGTGTACAAAAGGGTAAGTGTTCCAATTTCTTTGATATGAAAATATCTTTGATAAGAACATGTGAGTGATATTTTCATATCAAAGACATTGGATTGCCAAGTGAGTGATAGACCGCATGATCGGGATTGCCCACACTTATAAAAAAAATGCTAAAGAAAAAACTAAATAAATAAAGCTAAAAAAAGAGTAAAAAGGCTCAAGCATGAAAATACAAATATTTCAAAAGCAAATTTGTACACCTTGGGGGCTTATTTAGGGTCTTGAGCCTTTATCCCCTTCTTCTATAACCTTTAGCTTAACCACGTTAAAACCCTTAAAAAGACCTTTTTGAGGTATACACATACTTGTGCGAGGTTCGGCTAGAGCTACGTTCGGCCTGATTCCTAACGGATACGTAGGCAACCTCACATCGAGGTGCGGCCGTAATAAACATGCATTTACATTCACATTCACACATCCTGATCATATCAAGGGATCTCCTATGCTCATCCCTATTTACTTAGAGCTAGACTTGGGGGCTTGATCCTTACACCATTAGCTTACCTAGCCTAAGAGTCACCACCATTTGACTCTTTTTAATATATTTTCCCACACACTTAGCCCTTGCGGCCTAACTTTAGTGTCACTATCACACACATCACAGATACATGACCAAATATACTTTCCCTTTAGGAACCCTTTGTCATGGAATCTTAACACAACGCTGAAGCATGCCTTGTCATATCAACATCACTTATCAATCATAATTGTCATTGCATCACGAAGTATAAAGTGCTTAGCCTCCGTGTCTAAGTTACCCAAATACTTTCATCATGGAATCAACAATTGAGAAAGCCTAAGATGAATTAATCCTTGCACAACATTTGACTAAGCTCATTCAACATGCACCTTCAAACACTTCGATTCTTTTTTCGCGTCTTTCTTTTTTGGGAGAAAGTCGGTACTCACCACAAAAATGACGGAAATTTTTGTTTTTCTGCATTTCAAGTCATGTACATATCGAGTTTCATGAGTCAACACTACGCACACACGAGTCACATCGAGTTGAGTCAACCTCGATTAAGTCAATCACAGTGAATCAAGTTTATACCTTGAGTCGTGTCAATTCAATGAGTCAAGCAACGCTAAACCTTAGGTCAACCCTAGGATAATTAAAGATATTAGCAAAGTCCTATAGTCAAACATATAAATACATATACAGCAATGAGTCAAGCAACGCTAAACCTTAGGTCAACCCTACTCCAGCGCCAGATGAAAACATCTAGCGTCTGGCAATAGTTTTTAGCGTCTGGCGACAAAGTCAATTCTTGACGCCAGAGATATTTCAGCAGCGACAAAGCTCGAAGCCTCTCAGAAAGGTGATTTTGACCTCATACAGCAATTTCGGGTTCCTTGGTACGCCAGTTAGCCCCTATAAGCAATTTGACATGATTAAGTAGTCGGTTTGATTACAATCGCAATAAGTGATCGACCCGATGAAAGATCGTCTCACTTAGCTTAAAGCGCCTAAGCATTGGCTCATCGCAGAGACACCGACATACTGGTTCATAAACAGCAGAGACACCTACATAATTGTTCACAAGTAGCAAATCGTCGACGTACTGGCATAACGGAAGCAAAGTTCAAGCAAGCTTTAGAAATCGACAAGCGTTGGTCTTCGGAAATTTTTCTTCGGAATATTATCGCAACAAACATTCAAGTATTTAAGCTCTTTGTTCAGAGACGCGTGGACATATTATTCAAAAGCTCTATTGTTTAGAGACGCGTGGACATATTATTCAAAAGCTCTTTGTTCAGAGACGCGTGGACATATTATCAAGCTCTTTTGTTCAGTGACGCGTGAACATTTCTTTCAAGCTCTTTTGCTCAGACACGCGTGGGCATCCTATTATCATGCTCTTTGTTTAGAGACGCGTGGACATATCATCAAGCTCTTTTGCTCCAGAGACGCGTGGGTATATCATTCAAAAGCTCTTTGTTCAGAGACGTGTGAACATATCCAAAAGCTCTTTGTTCAGAGACGAGTGAACATTGAAACAACAAGATGGCGTTCCCTAGATTGTGGAGAGTTGTCACAAACAACTGAAGGTAATTTCAAGCGAAGTTGTCTTCGATCGTGTTCCCTAAGATGTGGAAGATGGTCATAAAGTGGAAGAGGATCGTTTCAAGCGAAGCAATCTTCGATAGTGTTCCCTGGTTTGCGGAAGATTATCATGGCAGAATTGGAAGCAGTTACAAGCATAGCAATTTTCAAGAGGGATGGCATTCTCTAGCTTGCAGGAGGTCATCAAAACAGTAATACAGCAACAAATCGGTTACTTTCAGAGACGTGTGCTCGACGGTACAAGATACGCGTTTCTTAACTCTCTTTTCTGTTTAACTAACGCTAGTTTGCAGGTATCGGCGTTGCAAGAGTGATTTAGGATCGCAAAACGTTCTGAATAATTCTCCGTCCCTATCGATACTTTGACTTTTGTTTTCGAAACTTGCGTTTCTCCAAACTCAGTCAAAGTGGGGGCTTCTGTAGACACCCATTTGTGTCTCCCAAAAATCAAACCCGGTGATAAGTACCTTTCACGTCAAATCATAATCGAATGAAGTGAAAGTGTGGAAAGTTTAGTGTTGCGGATAGTTTTAATTTATTTTCTCTTCTCTTTGTTTTTTAAAACCTATTTTTAGAAAACAGCCAGTACAGTTTGGTTGATCCATGATATGGGTCCAATAGTAGTTTAGTTGGATAGGGTTTGAAAAGAGCTTTCCAACGATATATTATAAGCCCAATTCCGATGAATATTGAGGAAGTTATGGCCAATTTACTGAACTAGGCCCGGTTTGACCCTCATTTGCGGCCCAATGATCTAGAAAAGAGCCTAATATGGATGTATCATTCCTAATGCAATTAGGAACGGTTTTAGTCTTCTAGATTCTTCTAGAAGGTTCTTTTCATTCCTAATTCAATTAGCATTGATAAATTGACTTTTGTTGAGTTTTTAGAGTTTTAATTAGAATAAAAGAACATTTTTGAGGAAAATACGATTTTATCCTCCTGTACGGAAATTTCTATCTGGTTTTAAGAAAACGCGTCAAAAACTTAGTCAGCGTCAAACGCCAGCCTTAGCGCCTGACGTTAAGCTTGGCGCCTGGCGCTAGCGTTAGCGCCTGGCGCTAATGTCAGCGTCTGGCGCTAACCTGGTTTTACTCGTCAGAACTCTTTTTTGATATTTTATCTTTTTAGCTAATTTTCTTTATAAATAGCATTCTAAAAACTCCGTTTTCATCATCAGTTTTCATCAATTATCATCAATTCTTATTCTTTTTAATTTTCTTTAGAAATTCTTGATTCTCTCTCTCTTTCTAAACCAACCCTTTTACAAATAAAATTCCTCATACATTAGCACTAGACACACCTAGGATAGTTTGAAGTTGCCTTCGCCCTAGACGTGAAAGGTTTAATTTATGAGGGTTTGGTCCCAAATCTCTTTTTCAATTATTTAATTTAATTGTTGTTTGTTTTTTTATTTTCCTTGAAGTTACTAACGAGTGTATTTTGTTATTAGAAAGAGGTGCGAGGCATCAAAGTAAGTGCTTTAATTGTTTACATTGTTATTATGATATAGAAATCATGTCTAGGTTGTTATTATGATTCCTAGTGTCATGTTAGGGCGTTTTGATCTTCCTAGTATCATGTTTAGGGTGACTTTAATACCAAGTATGATTAAAAGTATGATGCCTTTTATTTTCTTTTCTAATATTTATGATGTTAGTATCATGTTAGGGTTAAAGCTTTGATTTTTATATGGTTAGTGACATGCTAGGGCTTGTTATCAATCTTGTTGGTATCATTCCTAGGATCTTGCTATTATTATTATGCTTTAACGTGATTATTTTAAATATGATTATAATTGTTATAATTTATGATGATTATGAATATTATTATTATTATTTATTATAATTATAATTGTTAGGGTTAATTTGATTATAATTCAAGTGATCGCCAATAATAGTTTTATTTATGCATTATATTTAACCAACACAGATGAACAGGTTTAGGGTTAATCCTATTGATTGCACGTTAGTTAGAAAGCGTACATGAATACGATCAAAATAAAGTAGAGGCATATTATTAGGGCAGGTTCAATCTCTTTTAGGTTGGATTTGTACCTTCATCCCCGAACTACCAGTCATGGTTCCAGACCTATTGGAGTTAACGATCTCCTGGATCGTTAAGGGGTGTAACCTTCAGCTCGTGAACGGTTTACAAGTTCCTAAAACTTGTTGGCGACTCTTTTGCTCTATCTTCTTTCCCTTTGGACGCCACATACTTTAGTGTATGATCACAGTGGGGTTCAAGCTAGGGATTAATGCTTGAAATATTCCCTATAGACACTTAACCTGTTTGTGTCTAGTTTTGCCACAGAAATAACAAACAATACTACTATGCAGGACAAAATACTTCCTTTCCTTTTGGACTTCTTTTTGAAACCCAAACCTTCTGTTCTCTTGGTTTGGGCTTTAGTGATCCAATCTGGAACTCTGTAGTCTATAGGTTGTTTACCTTTCCTGGCTTTCTCAAGTTCCCCCTCAAGTCTTGCCCTATCCGCTTTTATATCTTCCAAATCAGATTTTAGTTTTTCAAAATTCGGATATTGAGCAATTGGAGGAACTTCAGAATCAGGAGTTTCAAGACAGAGTTTCATCAAGGATAGTTCCACATTTAACATTATATTATCATGTTTCAACCTGTCTATAGTTTCTTTCAAATAATTGTTGTCATCAAACAGACTAAAGAATCTATATTGAATTTCAAATTTCATATTATCGACCCACTCATTGTTTTCTTTATAAGTTACCAAAGCTTCATCACTTTATTGTTTAGCTCTGTGCAATTCTTTCAATTCTTCTTGAATTTCTAAAACAACAAATATTAAGTTTTCTTTAGAGAAATGTCTAAGTTCTTTTTGAGAAAACCATACCTCAGATTCTAGTTCCTTCAGTTTTGCCTTTTCATCAGTTTTTGCCATCAAGCATAGATGTGCAGCTTCTTCTGACAGTTGATCTTCCTCAGAATCTGAATCTGAATCTCCCCACGAAGCTATCATGGCTTTCTTCACATTGTCCTTGGTGAAGAAAGGCTTATAAACTCTTGACTCTTTGGATTGCTCCTTGCCCTTTGTCTTTACTTTCTCACCGTCTAGTAGAAGACAATCTTTGATGAAGTGATCTTTAGACCCACATTTAAAACAAGTTGTGTTTCTGGAACTTGCATACTTCTTGTTCCTATAAAACTTCTTGTAGTTCATCATCCTTTTGAATTTTCTAACTAGAATTGCCATTTCTTCCTCATCAGCTTTCGACTCTTCTGAGTCTTGAGCCTTAAGAGCAAGACTCTTGTTCTTGGAACTTTCAGAGTTGGAACTCAGGTGAAGTTCATGAGTCATCAATGATCCAGCTAGTTATTCCATGTTAAACTTCGTGAAGTCCTTGGCTTCTTGCATGGCAATAACCTTGGATCTCCATCATTCATCTTGTGGTAGGCTTCTTAAGATCTTCCTAGCCTGTTCATCAATAGGAATGTGTCTGCCAAGGGAGTTCAATTCATTAATAATATCATTGAACCTAGTAAACATTTCCTCTATTGATTCCTTTGATTGCATTTCAAACCTTTCATATCTAGACATCAATAAATCAATTTTAGAACGTTTTACCTCATTGGTACCTTCATGAGTTACCTCTAGTAGATCCCAAATTTGTTTAGCAGACTTGCATCCCATGATACGATTATGTTCATGAGGTCCAAGTCCACAGTGCAAATACATTACAGCTAAAGCAATTAATTCAAGTTTCTGATAGTCTTCCTTATAATAATCAGAAATAAGTTTAGCAACTACCTCGTTCTTGTCATTGGTTGCAGTTATTTCAAAATCACCAGTTTCAATAACACGCCAAACCTGGTAATTTTCAGCTTTGATAAAGATCTCCATCTTGTTCTTCCAATAGGTGTAAAACTTACCATTGAACATGGGTGGACGTTGGGTGGAATACCCTTCTTCAAGTTTCTCCTTATAATTCATCTCTCCAGGAACTTACTTAGCAAAGTTATTTGCTTACACGTGAGAAACTTGCTCTGATACCAATTGTTAGTTGAGACGATTAATACAAGAGGCGGGGTGAATTGTATTAAGTTCCTAATGACTACTTTTTGCGGATTAATAAACAATGCATATAGGAACTTGCTAGCACACACAGATTTTACGAGGAAACCTTCCAGGGCCCAACTGGAAGTAAAACCTCGACCCTGCCTTAGGGATTTCAAACACACAAACTTTACTATAATAGGGCAAACACCAAGTTACAACCTATTAGACACGGACCTTTAGTTTCACAAGATCCTCACTGGACTTGCTACTTGATAGGACCCTATCCTACCCAACCTTAGCACCACACTTAGATTCACTAGTACCACCAAAGTACTACATGTACTGCCAAAGTACAAAACTCTCAGCCTCACCAAGAAGCTTACAAAACTGTGTGTAAAATAAACAATAAACTCACCCAAATAACTCAACCTAATACAAGTGTACGACACCAAGTATGATAGGTAAGCAATGCACGAAATTCGAAACTAATATGACAAGTTAGAAGCTTGGTAAACTTACTCAATTATAGCACAATGATTTCTTCACGCATAAACTCACAAAATCCTAAAACCATTTTACTCTCCACTATTTATACAAGTAACACTCGTATAGTAAGTAGGTTTCCTAACAGATAAATAAGTTAACTTAACTTATCTTTAAAACACGGTATTATGTAAATCAAGTGAATAAAATCTTTTTCGGAAAATAAAGATAAAAAGTTATTTTGTTAAAAATAATTATCTTTTTAACAACCCGATTTAAAGGAAATAAAACATTTTAGAAAATCTTTTCCTAAAATCTATCTTTTATTACTTTCCGTATTATTTTATTTACCAAGCCAACTTGTCACGCCTCTAATAAATTTCGTGCAATAACCTACTTAACATATTAACAATAATCTAGAAGATAAAACCCTTAACTAAAATAATTGATGCGCCGCGCCTTTGTTCAGGTAGATTACTTAAGCTCCAAGCTTATTAAATTCCGCCAAAGAACTTAAGCTTGCTGTCTTCAAGTTCCTGTTAGGGAACTCAGTTCTTGTTAGAGAACTAGTTCTTGTTAGATAAATCTTCTTCTAATTTGTTTAACTTCTTTGATAAAGATCTCTTCATGTCTTCTTAGTTCCAGCTACTTCTTCCATCACTATGATCAACTTCACCTAAACTAATCAAACACTTGAAAACCTTTATTAGTCAAGTTTGCTTTAGTTTAAGTTCCTCATCATCAAAACCTTTATGCTTCAACACTTGTCTTATACCAGGATGTGACACGTATCACTTCAGGTGTCTAGTGATGCGGTTAAATATCTCTCTTTATGTTTTTTTTGAAAATGTGCTCTATTTATGAAAATAGCCAGTCCAATTTAGTTTCATCAATGGTAAGGGTCCAATAGTAATGTAGTTGGATTGGGCTCGAAAAGAGCTTTCCAACGATATATTATAAGCCCAATTCCGATGGATAATGAGGAAACTATGGCCAAAATACTAATTGGGGCCGAAATGATAAATTTTATATGTGGCCCAATGATCTAGAGGAGGGCCTATTAATTATTATTTCTAAAGTTATTAGGATTGACTTTAGTCTTCTAGAATAATCTAGAAATTTCTTTTAAAATTCTAATGGAATTAGGATTAATAATTGTTATTTTAAAGAGTTTTATTTGGAATAAAAAAAAGTGTTTTATGATAAATCTGATCTTAAAACTGTTTAACGCGGATTTTAATTACTTAATTATACTAGGAAAAGGATTCCGTGCAAAGCGCGTTTTATTTTTTAAATAGCGTCAAATGATGGAGTCTGTCGCAAGTTGACAGAGTCTGTCGCCTGGCGCTGTTGCCTGTCGCCTGGCGCTGGTCCCTATCGTCTGGCGACAGGAGGTCTTTTATTCCGAATGGAACTCGATCTCTTTTCTTTCGATTTCCGGACTATTTTTTCTATAAATAGGGTCCTTGGCCTCCGTTTTCAAATCACCATCAATCAACAATCTCTATTCTCTATCTCTAAAAGCTAGAAGCTTACTCCCTCTCTATTCTTTTTCTAAACCTTCCATTTTACAAAATTCTGCATACATTAGTTCTAGACACATCTAGCCAATTTCGAATTTGCCTTCTCCCTAGATGTGAAAGGTTGATAATTTCTGAGGGTTTGGTCCTGAATCTCTATTTCAATTATTTAAATTAGTTGTTTGATTTAATATTTTCTTTGAAGTTACTAACGCGTGTATTTTTTTTATTAGAAAGAGAGACGAGGCATCTAAGTAAGTAATTTAATTGTTATTCTTTTGATATAGAAATCATACTTTAATTATTTTAATTCCTAATACCATGTTAGGATATCATTATGATTTCTAGTATCATGTTTAGGGTTCTTCCTATGCTTTTTTAATATCATGTTAGTATCATGTTAAGGTTGAAGCTTTTGATATTTATTGTTTAGTGGAATGCTAGGATTTGTTATTAATCTTGTTAGTATCATGCCTAGGATCTTGCTAATATTATTCTGCTTTATTGATATATAGGGCTTTTTGTCAAAAACTACCTAAAACTAATATTTTGTGATAAACTACCTAATAAAAAAAATGTTGTAATAAACTACCTAATAAAGGTAAAATGTTGTAAAAAAATACCTTAGAAAAGGTAAAATGTTGTAAAATACTACATACACCGAATTTTCATTGTTGATCGGCCTCAAAACCATCCCAAAACCATCGCTTTCATTCCCAAAACTAACACAACTTGCTTGAAATCGTCTCCCGCATCTAAACAACCTTTAAACACCAAAACCACCACCTCTAACCCTAAAACCACCATCCCGAAGCACTAATCTACCCTCACCAACTCGAAATATCCTCCAACCACCCCAAAAATAACCTTATCACCTTGAAAACCAACCCTCACGGTGGTTTTGGGGGTGTTCTAGGGTAGACCAACATCCTAAAATTAAGTCAACGGTGGAATTTTGGTCAAAGGTATTGTATTACAACATTTATCTTTTATTTGTTAGTTTCTTACAACATTTTTTTTATTCGGTAGTTTCTTAAAAAATTTAGGCTTTATTAGGTAGTTTCTCACAAAATGTCCATATTATTATTATGATGATCATTATTGTTATTATTATGGTGCTTGATATATATTATTGTTATTGCTTGATCACGCCTTTTATACATGTTTAAAGGGAATTTGTACTTGTAATCACGCTTAATAAGATAATTAATAATCTTGTTTAGGCTAATATGATTATAGTTCAAGTGGATCGCAAATAGTAGTCCTGCTTGTGCATTAATATTCAACCAACATAGATTAAACAACTTTAGGGTTAATATATTATTGATTGTATGTTAGTCAGAAAGCGCACATGAATATGAGAAGAATAAAGTAGAGACCTATTTTTCGGGCAGATTCAATCTCTATTTGGTTGAATTCATACCTTCATCCCCGAATATCCAGTCATGGTTCAAAACAACTATGGAGTTAGCAATCTCATGGATCATGAAGGGGTGTAACCTTCACCATGTGAACAGTTGTTGGCGACTCTTTTGCTCTAGCTTCCTTCCCTTTGAACGCCACCATACTTAAGTATATGATCACAGTGGGGCTCAAGTGTGGGATGCTTGAAATATTCCCTACAACTATATATTCAAGTTAATTATAATTTTGTTTATGAAATTTGCTATTATACATACATATAATCACAAAATGATATACAACTGTAAAATAAATGTTGTGTTTAACAAATGATTTTTTAGATATAATGGTAACATATTATTTGTAATTTTGTGTATGTTTGCACTTTTGCAAATAATTTTAGTGGAGATTTTAGTTTGCTGTTTGATTGATTTTTGATGTTTATTAAAAAGTAATTTATAAATAAATATCCACTAATATGGCCACTAGACCTGATCAAGCCCCGCCTGAAAAATTCTCGAGTTCGGGTAGACTAAAAAAAATCCATTTTTTTAGATAATTTGTTGCTTTGCCTATATATATATATATATATATATATATATATATATATATATATATATATATATATTATATATATATATATATATATTATGACATTATAATTTCTATATATTTGTATATTTTATCAAATTTTATTTGTTGGATATAATTAATTTTTTAAAAAAAATTAGACTTACTGTGCATGGCACGAGCCTTAATCTAATAACAATAATAATTATAAAGTCAAGTTTATGAATTTTTTTTTACGTTGAATAATTAATTTAGAACGGTACCTAATTTATTTTATTATTGTCAATGTCTAAATCTTTAATAGTTTTACTATCATCGTTATTGTTA